CAAAGTCAGGTAGAGGCTGTGGTCGAGGAAGACGTGTTGACAAAATATCTGGTACGCAGACGACGGTTGGCGTCGTCAAAAGACGGCGAAGGTGAGAGAATCCGTTTTTGCTCATTATTTTCCTTGCCATAGGGCAGGTACCACTTCCCGAGTTTGCCTACTCGTTGTATGGATTCTCCGCAAAGCTGATGTCTGTTATGTACCTGAGTAGGTATGTAGGTGTGTAAGTCGCGACTGGTTATCAATAAGAATGACAGGCCGCCAGGGGAGATCAGGACCAACCCGTGTAAGTAACCTGCCACAAGGTCGCCTTACATTGATTACCTCATCATCCAGGCTCGTCAGTATTGAAACAGGTAAGGTTATGATAACATCATGAGCACAAAGTCTTTGAATGTCATTACTGTTGTAATAGTCGATGAAGCAAAAGATTCACAAAATCAAAAGCAATGCGTGTTCCAAAAGGATGTGACGTCAGGAGAAAGGATGCTAAAACGGCTGTTCCCTGCCATGAGATGGATACTGCTTGTCTGAGATTTACCTGTCTACCAGGCTATGAACAATTGATCCATTCAGCTGATATAAGTGTTTACTTCAGACAGATATGATTTATCTTCAATGTCGGCTGGGAAGGTTGGCAGGGTTCACCAATCCCCCTCCTCAGCCCGAGGAACGCATCATACGCTTCACGCACAACACAGCTAAAGTCTGGCTCAAAGGGCATTGCAGATCTCCAATTGCCGTAAAAGAATTGAATATGTAAAAGCCTCAGACTTGGGCGCAAACAATTGAGTCGTAGGACGGTGGGTCAAAAAGTAAAAAGATTCCGAACCGGGGAATCGAACCCCGCGCCTGTCGGTACTCTCGAATGAAAGCGACAAATGTTAACCGATACACCAGTTCGGATGGTTGTTGAAGACAGGGGGTCAAACATAATATATATTCTACCGCTCTATTCCCCACATAGCGCCAGGCCAGCATCCAAGTGTGTCGTTTCTTTCACCGAGGAAAGCTCCTCTTTGAAGGATGCTGCTGCGAATCTAAGGCGACGTATCATCTTGCATCTTCTCATCAGGTATATAGGCCAGTGTGCAGCCAGTTTCATCATGGCCTACATTCTCCCAAGCCTTACAAGCTCATGCTTCAGTACTGTAAAGGGTGACCAGGCTTCCCCCAGCAGTGATGGACCCTTCAAGTGAGGACTCGATGATATGTCGACAATGCACAAGTTCAATCTTGACGAAAGCATATTTCGGGCATATCGCGAAGATCATGTAACGGCAGCACAGACTTCCGGACCCTATGCCAATGCATAGTAACATGACGTGTACAAGGGCTCGCCTATTCTGATGGCATTTGATCGGGTCATCGATGTCCTTGAATCTTCGAGCCACTCAATCACGAGCATCACAACGGCTGTCGGCTAAATCACCAGTCGTGTACAACAATGCGCTACTCCTGAAGCCGCCAAGGGATGCTTTTGCAGTGTTGCGTACTTTCTGGGCATATCGGTATTTGAAATCTGTCGAATATCTTCCTCGAACCATCGGCCATGGCTGTGTTCCGAGTCGGTTCGGCAGACCAGTGATGCGGAGTAACTCTTGGGAACCACCAAGTTCCCATTGTCATAGAGGTCGACTTCGTCGATGGCGAGCACTAACCTCCCAAGATGGCATATTGGCGCGTTCCCCAGATCAAGCGGAACGAGGAATTCAACAAGCTTAACTCGCTCGTCACCAGACTCGATTGGATTGATGAGTCTCGGGAGAGCATCTTTGCCAAAGAAAGAGACGGGCTTCTGAACATCTCCAAAGGCGCCGTGGGCATGTTTCAGACCGGTGGTGTCATGGTTCGAGACATCGAAGAGGGCCCCTTTGACGCCTGTATTGAGTAGGAGGACCACACTGGCGTGTTGAATGAGGACAGGATAAGCACGGAACTGAGAGCGAGCCTCTACCTCTACCGAGATTGCATACTTGCAGGGCAGCTTGATGCAAAAGGTAGTCTTGTTTCACTGATTTGTTGGTAAATTCGACCCGAGGGGGGGGGGGCAAGGTGTGTGAATGTCGCCAACGGGCACAGCAGGCAGATGGACGACGGGTGTTCCTCCAATCTCAACCATCCTGCGCGCCTGCAGCCAAGTGCTAGGCAGCAGCTGAAAGTCCAATGGCTGCCGACGACTGCTTGGTTGCCAGAGCTGTACGTAGGGTAGGTAGACACGAAGGGAAGGTGGCAGCATCCTGCTTGTTGTCGTGACGACTGAAGCGAGTGGCGATGATGCTCGATTCGACGAAGCCCCGAACCCCCCGCCCGGGATGGGTTGGTCATCGATGCCAGGCGTCCAGGCGTCTGAGGGGAGAAAGCAAGGAATTCTGGGAATTAAGCTTAACAGGCCATGGATGATGGTTCCTCTTATGTTCTCGGCCAGGGCTAGTGGGCGCCCAGGGGTGCTGTTGATGGAGGGGCAGGAAAAGCATTTTCGATATACGTAGGCCTACATACCTTGGGTAAGTACCTGAGGTAAGGTACCTGTGTAGGTAGGAACCTAGGAAGGGTCCAACGGTAGGCGCGGATGTGGAGGCCAGCGGAATTGGGAGCAT